TCCATTTTCCAATATAATATAGCATAATCTAATCTTGTCGGCACACTTAATTAGGACCTTAAACTATAGTAGTTTGGAGTACTTAAGAAGTTGTTTTGTAATAATAATCTACTCTTATAATCAATGGATTAATGACGAGGCAATTAGAAAGATTTGTTGACTTATATTCTATTTGTACTTTCATTAGATAGTGCTTCTTCATTGTGTCAAAATATATTAATTAATGGGGTTTGGTAAGAAATATATTTTAAAGTGTTTTTTTTAATATGGAAATTGAGTCTTTTATCTAAATAACCTCCTATTTCAAAATATAATATGACCCACATTTTGAATCATTTATTAATACAATATTTTGATTTATAATCACACGCTTGTCAGCATATTTTTAGATGTTTTTATTACTTTATAATAAAATGTTAACACAAAAATAAGAGTTGATACAAAATATGATAATTCAATAATTTTACCCCGATCAAAATAGCTTGGAAATTAAGTGCAAATCAAATGCATATTACGTGATTATACGTGCAAATGCGAACTTATTTTTCTAATATTTATAGTGATTGTTAAGCGAACATTTTAGATAACGAATAACGATTTAATATAAAAGAGAAGATGATATTCTTTCATTTTAATTCGTTGATGTTGTGTATCTAGAGACATAATCGAAAATATTTAGTACGATTATGAGACGTACAAAAACATTGTGCACTTTTAAAATTTTAAATATATTTGAATATAATATTATATGTCATTTCTTTTAGTGTGTTTAAACACAGTGGAATCTAATTACATACCTAAGGTTTTTTTGCTAGACATGTGTCACAATCATTAATTCACTCAAAAACAAACATACATGTAAGCTAGTGCGTGTAGATTGACGGTAAAAATGTATCAAATGTACACTTTATCGGGTGTAGTATAGAATTGACCATAAAGACACGCTCTCGTGAATATGATTAAGTATGAACTACTTCCTAGTCTATTTTACAAATTCAATTTTTTAAGCAATAGACAAGGATCTTGAGTATTATACCTGGTCAAATACATCGGGAATAATTTTGCACCATAATATACGTCAAATCACACACACATACATACGGGCATATAATTCTCTTTTTTTATAACAATCAGTGACTTAGCTGTTGGAGCAAAATAATTTGTGCCAATTAATCCAAATTTGCATCCGTTTTGCTAATGGTATGTAGATCGAGCACGTCATACGTGCATTTGAAAGTTTATCCGTTTTGATGCAATGAAAATTGTAAAAGACCGAAAAAAAAAAACAATTGTCATGTTTTTTATTGTCTTTAATACTTTTGGTTTTTTTCCTTTTTTTATTTTCCTTGTATGTAAAAAAATAATTCAAACTAATTTCCAGAAAATTTTTAAAAAATAGAGAACTCGAAATGAAAAAAAAAAATGATCCGGATTTATTCTTATCAAAAGCGACCAAAAATCGAAATTCCTATTTTCCATCACCTATAATATAAAATATATAAATAATAATATTGATATTATAAATATAAACTTTGGAACAAAATAAGAAACTATCAGAATTATTTTTTTCAGAATAAATTGGAAAAAAAAAAGAAAGAAAAGAAAAGAAATTAAAATTAAAAATATTGTTCCAAAACGTAATGGGCCACAAAATGGGCTATAGATCCAATAAATCCTCCATTTCATATTTATATTTAAATAAAAAAAATGCAAAATTTCAAAGGGATAATCAAAACAGAACTGCTGCTGAAACAAACGGCCATCCATCCATGGCCACTTCTTTCAGCTTCAAACTTGCTATCCCAATCACCATCTCCAAGCCGACGAAGCCCAGAATTCATTCTACTAAAATCCGCTGCATAGGATGGGTGCGTTCTTCTTCTCTTTCTCTCACCTCTCTCCACGCACACAAACTGTTTGATAAAATGCCACTTTGATCACATTTTGTGAAAATGGTTTTTTCTTGATGAAAATGTTGTCTGTTGTTTGTCAAGGAAGGACCCAGAAGGCGTATTGGGTGCTCCGAAGGGTGACCACATATCGAGGTTGGAATTCAAGCGACGCCTCGATAAGGATGCCGACGCCCGAGAAGCTTTCGAGCGCCAAGTCCGCGAAGAGAAGGACCGTATGCGTGCTCTTCGCGAGGTGGATTATATTTTTTCTGCTTACTTTCTTTTTTATAGGAAATCAATTTTTTTTTATGTGGATATTATTCAAAGAATTGATTTTTATCATGTGTATTCGAGCAATGTGCAGGGCCGAATTATACGTTTATTTTATGAAATAGGTCAGTTGGTTTAAGTCCTGTATATCGTTTTTGCCGGGAAATATGATTTGGATTTACGAATGTTTGAGATATTGGAGATAAGTAAAAAAAGGAACTGATTGAATGCAGAATTAATTTGATATTTTTGATGAATGTGGCAGTGCTTGCATTTGTTGTTGCTCTTCGTGGAATCTATTAATACGCATCCATTTTTTTTTTTTTTTTGTTTAATTTAAATTAGAATCGGGTGGCACCGGATACTGAAGAGAAGTTGGTTGAGTATTTTCTAGATACTGAAGCACAGGAGATTGAATTCGAGATTGCAAGATTGAGGCCTCGGTCAGTGTTTCTTTATCCTAAAAACGCGCAGTCGTTTAATTTATAAAAGTTTTTTTTTTTTTTTAGTTTACTTAGCTTACAGTACCATTGCATTTAATATATTTTCTTGTATCTTATTCAACGAAAAGATTAAAGAAACTGTTAAGCATGGTCAACCAATCATTTGCTATGCATCTAATTTCAGACTGTCGTCTCCAAGAAACCCGGAAATTAATTTAATTTGGATAAGTTTAATTTTTATCTCGTGAATTGGATTGCTTAGTGTTTGCACTGCCACCTGTTTTCACAGATTGAACGAGGAATTTTTCTCTCACCTGAAACTCGAACTGGGAAAACTAAGATTTGCCGTCTCCAAAACTCAGGTATTTTCGTCGTCATCTTTTTGTATTTTATCCACTCGATTAATGATAAGTACACACGTGAAATGCATATCCAACGGTTTCATTTGTAGGATGTGGAAGACAGAATATTCGAGCTGGAAACACTTTCGAAAGCCCTGCAAGAAGGAATAGGTTAAGATTGAAACCACTCGTAAAAATAATTATATATTTAAAAAAAAAAGGATATTCTCTTTAACTATTTCGCCATATTATACAGAAGCATACGATCGAATGCAATCCGAACTTGTGACAGCAAGAAGCAGCTTGATGAAACTTTTTACGTCAAAAGATGTCAAGGCTACTGTAATGCCACTCCTTTTCTTTTCGATTTTTTTTTTATAACATTTTAGGTAAATAATTCATTTTATTGCATATAATGTAAATTCCGTTTTATAAAATGCGCAGTTATTGGACATGGTCGAGAGTAACGAGTTGAACAGATCTTTATTGACACTTCTCGATGAAAATATTGCGACTGCATATCAGGGTAACCAGGTGAGAGGGGCAAAGTCGTAATTAAGGTTTTCTTTCGATACGATATTTTTTTATTTTTTTATTTTTTTATTTTTTTTTATAATATTATTTTTTTCTCGATAATGCAGACACAAGCGGCACAGTATATGGAAAAGATTCGTGGAGCGATGCTCAAATACCTAACGGTTTGATTTTATGTAACACCGGTAAATAAATATGTACACTACTTTTTGAGGGTTGAGATTTGCTTGTCGCAGTAATTTTGTTCGTTGTATTTTATCTTTTATTGTAAAATTAGAAACTCGGGGGCCGACACTGTATTAATGTTACGACAGAAGATTAATGTTGTACAATAGTTGTATGAGATGCTAATACGAAAGGTTCGTTAGAGTATGAAATGAAAGGTGCTGGAAGTTTCGATTTACGATTCGAGTTTTAATCTGTGGTTAGGGAGAAATTACTGTAGTACAATATCTCTAAACTTATATTCTTATTAGATTTTAATTAGTTTTTTTACACGTATTCTCGTGGTGGTGTTCTTGGAAGATGCAATCGCGAAAATGCGTCATCGGAAATCGAAGCCGGAAATTATTTATAATGGAAGTCATTAGTGATTAACTAATCCTCCCTGTTGCCTTTTGGCAAAATCTGTACGAAGATGCTTCCTGACCCCTGCTGCATAACATAATTATGACAAATTACAAAGACCTCCCTGAGGTAAGGCCTAATTACGAAAAGTCTTCCTTGTTTGCACTGAAACCAACGGGCTGCAACAAACCGTAATAGAAAATGTAGTTGTCTAAAATACCCTTTGTGTTGAAATAATTAAACGGGGTGAAAAAAAACGGTCATAAATTTAATTTTCTAATTTTCTTACATTTTGGCCTCTCATGTAAAACCCCAGGCATAACACCTTATGACACAAAAAGGCTAGTTAACAGCAAACAAACAAAAAAATTATAAAAAGTAAAGAGTTTAAGAAATAAAATAGACTTGTTTTACAAACATTACAATTAAACCCCTAAGGGTATTCTGGTCATTCTAAAATGGATATTCCATGAAATTTATTTGATTCCATTATTGTTAACTCTGTAAAGGTAAATTCGTTAGACGGGAAATACCTCAAAGGGTGTTAGTAATTATGTAAACAATGAGGATTTTTTTGTAATTAAGCCTTACCTCAGTGAGTTCTTTGTACTTTATCCATACAATTAACGGCTAATGGCGTATCATAGTTAAATTATTAGTATATGTTTTAGCCGACTCTTTAGATTTAAAATAGGGATGAACAGTTTTCTATAAACCCCTACTAGTCCTAGTCATTTACATGTTTGCCATTACAATTAATGTTAATTTCCAAGGGTTGACATGTAGGCTTTTGTTTGGGAAAACGAGGCCAATTAATTAACTAACTAATTAATTAAGTTTATTAGTATCCATTAGCTGTTAACAAAGGATTAACAATGTTGTGTACATTAATTACAAAGCTTAGTATGAACAGCTAAGAAAAGTCTAGAACCATCGACAAAAATCATCCAAGATCAAGTTGACCTCCAACCTGTACAAGTCAGTTACTATATTAAACTAGAATTGACCAAGACCAAGATAATTGATTGTGTGATTATTTATTTATTTTCTTTTATATATGGATTTCATGCACAATTTGTTTTCAAAGCAAGATCTAACATTTTTTATTTCTGGCTGGATACAGTAAGATTCAAGTAAGTTGCTTTCTCTACTTATTACCATTTTAAAACTGTTGGTGACTTTCCGCAAATGATGATCTAGTGATTGGAGCAAGTGAGTCTTTGTCAATTATCCTAAGTTCGAATTCTCTTGCCAACTATCGTTTTTTCTTGATTAACAAATGAAAAAGTACACAAGAATAATTTAAAAGAAAGAAATAAGCACAGAAAAAAAAAAAAGAGCCAGTAAAAAGAAAGTGTGTGGCAAATTTAAAATATAGTAATTAAAGATGGTCATCTACTCATCTCTCATCATGCATTTAAAAACTTTTGCTTTTCTTTTTTGGAAAAGAAAATGATAAATTTTTAAGATAAATTACGGCCACCCGTGGAGTATGATTAACTTACAAAAAAAAATTCTCATATTTGGGTAATTACGACTACCTTCTTTAATTATGAATTTTCTTACATGTCTATGCGTATGATGTCTAATTCAACTTAATTAATCGTCTAGATTTTGTAGGATGTTCTCTAGTTTGTACTCATTTTATATAAAAATGCAGTTTCTGATGCACCACAATCTGATATGTACAAGCCAAGAGACACATCTTATGATCATCTTGTTTCAAAATGTGGAGCTCGAATGGGGCAAAAACTAAAACGCGTACAAACTAGAGAATATTACACATAATTATTTAGTAGATTCCACTAAATTAATTTGACACCGTAGAAATAGACGTGAAAGAAGATCCATAGTTTAGGAGATGGTTACATTACCCAAACATAATGTGTTTTTTCGTAATTTGATCTCACCTCAGTGGTGGCCGTAATTTATCCAAAATTTTTATTTCTATTTTATTGAAATTTGAAATTAACTAAAGGGCTCCTCAAAAGCTCTCTATATATATATAAAGTATAAACATGATATTTCACTTCTCTGCAAAAACCTAACAACACTGAAAAAAAAACTCCATTAATGGCAAAAGCCGTCACCATTTTCTCGCTTCTTCTTCTTCTTCTTCTCTTACATTCCCACACAGCAAAATCTTCCACCGACACAAACCCTAAATCCGCCGCCGCCGCAGATTTCATCAAAGCCGAATGCAGAGCCACTCGCTACCCAGCCCTCTGCGTGCAGTGTCTCTCCAACTACACCACCACACCTCAGCTCACCCACCGCCAGCTGGCTCAAGCCGCACTCTCCGTGAGCCTCTCCCGAGCCCGCTCCTCGGCTAGCTTCATCTCCCGGCTGGCTAAGATGAAGGGAATGAAGCCAGCCGAACACCGAGCCGTCAGAGATTGCATAGACAACATGGGCGACACGGTGGATCAACTCAGCCGGTCCATGAAGGAACTCGGGTCGATGGGCCGGGTCGCGGGCCAGGACTTCAACTGGCACGTCAGCAATGTGATGACGTGGACCAGTGCTGCCCTCACGAATGAGAACACGTGCGTCGATGGGTTTGCGGGCCCCGCATTCGACGGAAGTGTTAAGGCTGCGATAAGGAGAAGGGTTTTGAACTGTGCGCAGGTTACTAGTAATGCACTGGCTTTGGTTAATCGCTTTGCAACTAGGCATAAACTTCCTTAATTAATTAAAGTCGTTGTTATATATTTTAAACTCTTTTTTTTTTTTTTTTTTGAGAAAATAATTACTTGTGTATAGTTGTTTTAATGTTTGTGTAATTTTGTTTGTTGTTGTTGTTGGTTCAGTTTTGTAGCTCAAGTGTTGTCTGATTTTGGTGTTGCTGTAATTAATTAGTAGTGTGTTTTATTTATGCTAAATTTAGTGAAGTGTGCTTTTCAAGTTAGATAATTAGCACTAAACTAATTGATCTGAAATGTTAACTGTCGTATCAATTTTACTAATATTGTTTATGAATCTGAATGTGATTTCGATCAGTTTGTAGTTTGGCGAAATTCGAAGCACTGAAACGGTAGTCCTTTGAGTTAACTGTATAATCCGACTTGAACCAACCAGATTCGACATCGGGTGATAAATGTATGTATGAATGAGTTACATTTTGAATTTTAGATAACTCAAAACATCAAAATTATGGACAATGTTTATTGTGATTCATGAGTAATTTTCTCACTTGATATTCAGTCTAGTTAATTCAATTTGTATTAGAAAGCTAATTCAACGACATACAAATCCCGTGTTCTGATATTTACCAAATTCAGCCTTGGAAATGATCAAATGTTCACGTTTGAAGTCTAAATGGTATTTTTAGAACTGAAACGATATTTGTAATATCCCTTTGATTGATACACTTATGTGTGGGTGTGTGTATATATTTGTGTGTGGTAAGATTATATATTAGGTGAAGTTTAATTTGCATGCATTTTCAATAAAAAAAATCTATTGATCCAAATATCTATATAAATAAAATTTTCATACAACAAAAGAAATCACCAAGTAAATAATTGAATAGATTAATTGATGGTAACTAAAGTATAATCAATTGATTAAATTTAAATTAAATTTTGTGACAAAAAATGTAAAAATAATTATAAAGTGTATATCATATATATCTAATAAAAGTGATATACAATTAGAATCTGCTTTTTCATGTCCGGAAAAAGAAAAACCAAAAAGAAGAACAAACTAAAGTATCTTTCATACCTATCTTTTTTTTTTTTTTGATAATTTCTTTCATACCTATCTAGTAATCTGAAAAAGAAAATATTAATAAATTGTTTAATATAAACTATATCTATATAATAAGGTAGATATTTAATTAAGATGCCTGAATTTATGTTCGATTTTCCCGCCGTTTTTAGTGGGAATAGAGTCAATAAAAATCTTAATAGCATATTGATCTTTTCAATTAATTTATATTATCTTAATTATTTTATGAGACACCTCTAGTAGACTTCTTTCCAAGCATACACTGGGTGTTCATTTGGTTATATCTTAACTTATCGTAACGGAATTTCGGTATATCGAAGTTTGGATATTTCAAAAATTTGTATTGTTCACAGTACTGAACTAAGTATTAGGTTGGGTAAATCGAAAATATATTTTAATATTTTAAAAAATATAAAAATATATATATTTCAACTAATTAATTCTTGAATTTGACATACAAATTTCAATAATCAACCATAAAAAAAAATGATTATAAGTAGAGGCTAATTTGTAAATAATGAAAAATAATTATCAATTTAAAAGTATTTTATAAATTGTTATAACCTTATATAATTTAAAAATAATATATTAAATATTTCAGTATTTGGTACGGTATGGTATACTGGGTATCAATACCATATATTGTAACGAATACCCTAATTCCAAAAAATATTTATCGAACACCGAACTGAATTTGGTACGTACTGAATTTGTTTCCATCGATTTACCAGCCAAGTAAACACCCTAAGCATATGTAGATAATAGATTACATACAAACATAACAATTTTTGGCAAATCTTTATCTTTACACTAAAATAATAGTGAATTTTTTTAACATGGGCCCCACAAGGGCATTTGCAAACCATTTAAAAGTTAATGGGCTGGATTAGTATAAAAGAACGTGTATTCGTTGGCCGAATAATATATATATACTTTGGTTATAAGGTCCCATTGGTCCCCACCACTTCGAATTAAGTCGTATTTTAACTCGTCTATATTAGGGATGGCAAAAAAAAAAAAATCGATTTTCGAGCTATTCTCGGGATGCGTCTCATTTAAAACCCGCTACCAAAAATATGAAGGTTCGAATAATTTTGCTAAAAGAAATACGAACTGTCACGATTTTGTTACAATTAGGGGACCAGTGAGCTAGAAATCAGGCTTATGAAATCCTACATCTGGTGAATTTATCATGTGGTTTTAAACTATAAATCTACATAAATAATTGTTCACTAAACACAAATACACATGAGTATATATTATTATACGTAGATTAGGGATTCTACAAAACCCTGAAAATCATCCTATTAATAATAAACACAAATTTATGTATTTACTTTTTTGACTCGCAATTACATATGCACACTCAATAAACCACACTTTTGTGCAAATAACCACAAATCACATGGAAATAAGATTTCAACACAAATTTTATTTATTTTTCACTAAAATAATTCTTCAGTAATAACTTATTGCAAAAAAATGTTTGCAATACATATATATATAATATGGGTTAATCTCAAAAAGGCACATGGCAAGAACATTTAATTAAAAAAGGGACATCCAACTTTTTTGTCTTTCAAATAAATCCAGTTCATTCAAACTTATACAAATAAGAAAAATCCTTTTATACATAAACCAAAATTACCCTCAATTCAACTTAAATTTCATGATTTACACCTAATTTCACCAATTAACCAATTTTAACCATAATTTTAATTTTGACCCCAATTTTGACCCACCACCACCGGAGACCGCCGGTCTCCAGTGTTGACCTTTTTTTTTTTTTTTTTTTAAACTTTTTTTTCTGTAGGTCAACCGCCGTTGACCGCAGGGTCTCATGCGTTGACTTTTTTTTTTTTTTTATAATTTTATTTTTTCTTAAAAAAAATATTTTAATTAATATTGCTGTCTTGGCTGCTAAATTACAGTCTCCAGCAGTTATTTAACTGTCGGAGACAGTAATTTAACTGTTAATTGACTTTTTTTTTCTTAAATTTTTTTAATTAATATTACTGTTTTGGCTGCTAAATAACTGTCTCCAGCAGTTATTTAACTGTCGGAGACAATAATTTAATTGTGGAGACAGTAATTTAACTGTTAATTGACTTTTTTTTTTTAAAAAATATTTTAATTAATATCACTATTTTGGCTGCTAAATTAGTGTCTCCAGCAGTTATTTAATTGTCGGAGAATGTAATTTAACTGTTAATTGACTTTTTTTTTTCTTAAAAAAATATTTTAATTAATATTATTGTGTTGGCTGCTAAATTACTGGCTCCAGCAGTTATCTAACTGCGGAGACAGTATTTTAACTGTTAATTGACCTTTTTTTTCTTAAAAAAATATTGTAATTAATATTATTGTCTTCGTTGCTAAATTATTGTCTCCAGTAGTTATTTAACTGTCGGAGACAGTAGTTTAACTGTTAATTGACTTTTTTTTTTTTTAGAAATTTTGTTTTTTCTTAAAAAAATTATTTTAATTAATATTACTGTCTTGGTTGCTAAATTACTGTCTCAGACAGTAATATTACTGTTTGGGATAGTAATATTAGTAATATTAATGTTCGGAAATATTCATATTCATAATATTACTGTCCCAAACAGTAATATTACTATCTGAGACAGTAATTTAACAGCTAAGACAGTAATATTAATTCAAATATTTTTTTCTAAGAAAAAAAAAAAAAAAAGTCAACGTCGGAGACCGGCGGTTGACCGGCCGGAAAAAAATTTAAGAAAAAATATTTTTTTCAAAAAAAAAAAAGCTCTGCGGCGGTCAACGCCGGAATCTGGCAGGAAAAAAAATTCAGAAAAAAAATTATTTTCTGAAAAAAAAAATGTTTTTTCAAAAAATTATTATTTTGGGGATTAATGTGATATATTTGTTTAAATCCAGGGTCAATGTATAATATTAAAAAAGTTAGAACATTATGGATAGAATTAATAAGAATTATATTATAAAAGGTATTTTAGACTAAAGACATGGGATGAATTTATTTGAAAGACTGTTTGTTTTGCGGATTAATGTGCGTTTAAGTCTCTTGTGATGTGCCTTTTTGCCATTTGCCCATATAATATACTTCTTGTCAATCTTGATTTTAAATTACGTGCACGACACAAACTTGTTTGGAATTGATTTCGTAATCAATTTATTGCAAAAAATTGATTGTTGAGAAATTAAAGACCTAACATTATAAAATGCGTCTCTTTATGATAGTCTCGTCCAAAACAAAATTACTATAATCATTTAACTTAAATTACATTTGAATGGAAGAATTTAGAATTTAAAAAAAAAAATTATATAAACAATTCAACTTGTTCCAATGAATTTAGTTTTACCATGCATTTTCAAATATTTAATTAGCTCTATAATTGAAACCCTTCAATTTAATTAAGTTAGTAAACACATGCAGAAGAAGTAAAAGCTAAGTAAAAAGATTTAAGTAGGAATTCCTTCGAATGTTTATAAAAATGTCAAACCACACTAATAATTCTCCATCTTACTGTTTATTTCCACTTTAGTCCTTCTTGTATCTATTGTCTTATTATATTCCTTTTAACTCTATAGCATATCTCAATATAATCATTCGGTGTATAATTTAGTTAATTTTAACATAATATTTTATTTACTGGATGGAATTATTTCTATTTTTTATAATTATTTTGTAAATAACCTATAAACAAATTAATAAATACTAAAAAAAACATGTATAATTGAATTAGTTACTTAAATATTAACATAAGATCATAAAAAAATAAAAATAAATTTTTGATAGATAATATATGTAGATGACATATTATAATTATTTAAAATCCGTTTCTTAACTGAAGTCATATATCCACAAAAGCAAATGATTCTTTTTTATCTTAATATAAATTAATATTTTGTAAAAATAATGGTTTTTAAGTTATGTGTTTCTTGGTAGCAAATATTATTTTTAAATTACAAATTTTTGTTATTGATTGAAAAAAATCATAATTTATCAAAAAGTAATTCTAACAATGGAATATTTCATCTGTTCGTAACAGAATTTCGTTAAAATTAACAAATTTGTACACAGATGAATGACGATAAATGTATTATAAAGATAAATGATGAAAATGAGAGAATTGAGACATGAATAACTAAAGTGGAACCAAATGTTAAAATGAGGAAACATTAATGAAATTTGGCTTATAAAAAATATAAGAGTTACTTGAATTGTGTCAATATCTAATTATTCAATAAATTTGTGACACACTCATAAAATTAATTTGTTTTTACCAAATATCAAGAAGAAAATTCTATCAAGGTCACATCACTCTCTTAGTCCTTAGTTGAACTAGTCCAATTCTTATCCTCACCAGAATATTCCTCACACTAAATATCACTTCAAAATAAATAAATAAATAAATGAAAATCACTAAACAAAATTGGTGTCAAAATAGTTTCCATAAATAGGGAACCTTAAATCCTTAATCTTCTCAAACTTCCCCAAGCATGAAGAACATTCTTCATTTGTGTCGCAAGTCGCAACCTATTTTTTCTATGCATTTTTCTATCATCGATGATCACAAATCAAGTTTCGTCTTCGGGTATAGTTAGGCCTTCGACGAAAAAGTACCACGCATCCGAGTATATCCAAAAATCGTGCAAGAAAACCTTGTACCCGGACTTGTGCAATAAATCTCTTGCAAAATATTCAACCAAAATTAAAACAAACCCCAAAACCCTAGCCACCGCTGCCCTACTAGTTGCCTTCAACACCACACAATCGACGTACAAAATACTGAGAAATTTATCGAGAAATCGGGCCTTGAATCCCGGCGAAAAGGAGGGCCTACTCGAGTGTGTGGAGGAGGTGAGTGACTCTGTGTACGAGCTTCAAAAGTCCTTTAAAGAGTTGTTTTTTTCTCGTAAGGGGCTGAAATTTGAGCTTCAAATGAACGATATTCAAACATGGGTTAGTGCGGCTTTGACGGATGATGATACTTGCATGGATGATTTTAGGGCAAGTGGAAGAATGAACATCTTGGTACGAGGTTTAGTTCTGAGAATCGCACGTTTGTCGAGTATTGCTCTGTCCTTCATCAACATGTATGGAGTCTAAAGTACAACATACAATTTCTGGACTATTTATTGTTAATAAGGGGTGGACTGGCAGTTAGAGCAACAAAGTTTGTGTCACTTGACTCAAATTTAAATTTTATTGCCAACGGTTTCTTCTATGAGTTCATCACACATAGTTAGCCTAATGAATATTTTACATCTCTCGTGTGGTTTACGAGCTATTGTACGAAAGTTAAAGGTTACTCATTTCACCTATCTGATTGGCTACAGATTTCTCATTATAAAAAAAAGAAAAAAAAAATTGATTATAACCTTTTTGGTCTCATGATATATTATTGAATTAACGTTTGTGTTTTAAGAATTTGATGGAATTAATACTTGTAAAGTAATAGTATTCATGTTATCTTTTAGGTTGTTTTTGGATTAAAATCAAAGAGTCAGATTTTTTTGTTAGACAAAATCTAACTTAGCTTTCATGTTATCTTTTGAATCATTAGTCTTGTCAATTTATATCCCCACTAATAGTTTATTAACTAAGCACACGTACATATGGGTGTGTATTATTATGTGTAGATCAATAATGTAAAATTATATAGTGTATTTCAGCAGACGTAGGTCTTACAAAAACAAAGAAGACGCAAAAATCTAAAGTTGGACTAATCAATTAATTGAACGAAAATTCAGATATTTATGAAATGTACACAAATGAATAAATAAATAAATAGAAAAGAAAAAAG